AAAATTTCAACTTTAATAAACTAATTCTTTCTTGACAAAGCAAGAGTATCTAAATTAATCGATATCTAATATAACTTTTAGATATCAAAACAATTGAGTACCAAAAAAATAAACTTGCAACAGCATCTCCAAAATTTTCCTTGAGCACTCTTTCAATCCCTATCACTAAAAAAAAGAAGGGAAAATTCAATTGTGATACCCTTTTTCAGCACAAACCATCATAATAGCGAACTTTACTGACACTATTTTTAATGCAATTTTAATACAAATTATTGTAACAGAGGAGATTGCAAAAGACAGATTTTTTAGTGCATCTTTGTGGTTGTTGTTGAAGCTAGGACAACTCCCACATGCTCCTGTTGTCAATACAAAGCCAATAAAATTTCAACTTTAATAAACTAATTCTTAGTTGCATCTGACCCTAGAGGTTCAATGGTATTAATAATTGAATAAGTGCATTCCCCTCTTTTCTGAGTGGGTTTTGAATCCATCTCATGTCAAAATGTTCAAAAGAAAAAAAAAAAAACTAATTCTTAGTTGGCAAGGCAACACTACATTAGAAGCCAAGAGATCCATTTAAGAAAACAGTGAACATTTGTTACCTAATTTCTCTTCCACTAACCAATATATGATGATTTAGCAAACATTCATAACTAACTGGAGAAAGGAATCAAGGAGCCATAACAGTATCAACCTATCATAAAGAGTATCCTAGTGGCCTTGCTCTGCATTCAAAAAGCTATAGACTAACACAAGAAATATATATTTTTTCTGATAAATAATGTATGATTATTATGATTATGTAATGATCATGCATATTATTCTTGTAATAATGTTGAATTATGTAATTACATAAAATAATTAGAATTATCCTATGCAATGATGTCTATGACCCAGCGACGATGCCCATAATTTACGGAAGCTCTCCTGAATGCAGATTTTCTCCAAGTTTTTCTTAGTTTTGTGTACTGTAATTTAGTATGACATCTGTACTATTTATACTGTTTTGTATTCTACATAAAAAAAAAAAAAACAGAAAAATGTAGGTAAATCTAGTTCTTTAAAAGTCAAAAAGAATTAGTATAGTTAACCTGATTTTTCCCCTTCCTTTCCAAAGGCCTGGCCAAACGGATGCACTCTGCCTCATCCATGCAGCATTTGGGCAAAGTCTATTGCTTTGATGCACGATCCATTTATGCTACTATTTTTTTTCTTTTTACTATGTCTCTTCATATTTAAAAATTATATTATATTTTAATTAATTTAAAATTAAATCAAATTAAATTTTAATAATTTTTTTTTAATATTTATCATTCTATTCATAAAATTTGAATTCAAAAACTTATTTTAAAAAAATTAGATTTTTTTCAATCCAATAAGGACAGTGGACTTAATTTTTTTTTTTTTCATGAACCATACATGTTACCAATTTGATTTACATTTAAGTCGCATTCATATTTCATAGATAAATAATAAATGCTAAACAGCAATGTTACGATATGGCTACTGAGGCCTGAACACACTTCCCCCAATAAGGGAACCAGTGGCGTGCTGGGCTGCGGTTTAGCTTTCCTTTTCGGCACTTTGGTTTGGCCAATCAAAATGGTAACATAGGTGAAGGCGGAGAGATCCAAGAAAAGAAAATTATTCAATTCTGCAATTAGTCAATTCTACTGAAGTGAGGACACACCATCTGCCTGTTTCAACAAACTCATTAAAAGCAGTACCGATGAACGGGAAACCTCTACTTCCCTCCTTAAATTCCTCCCACTCTTCCCTGCTCCATCACCTCTGCCTGCCTTTGCTCACTTCATTCTGTATGTTCTGCAATCTCTCTCTTGCCCTTTACGTGTAATTGGGTTTTGCTTTTTGGGTGGTTTGTGTGTCAAAGTTTTCTTCTTTCTCTGGTATATTGTCTTTGCCGTGTGCAGGGGATTCTGGGCGTTGTGGGTTTCAATCTGCACCCACTGTTTTTCTAAATTTCTAATGGTTGTTTTTTTTGAATTTTTCTATTTCTTGCTATACTATCATCCCATTGATTAATGTAAATGGTGGATTTCCTGATTTCCTTTTCATTAGTGCTTTATTCCTCTGTGTGCTTTTCAATTTTGATGTCTGCTTTTATAAATACCTGCCTTTGTTTTTGCTACACTTGACTACTTGAGCGTTAAAGAGTTCAGTTCTGCTGTAAATTTGATATCTTTTCTTGTTTATATGTTTGTTATCAGGTAAGGTGAGACGATCACCATTACCCTTCTTTTGTTTTCTTAGTTTCTTCCATTGTTTTGATGATTGAACTTCTTTCTGTTATTAATTTGATCCCAATTTAATTGTAATTTAAAGGGTTTTAATTTTCTATCTTTAACTTCCTTGCGAAGATGTCAATAACTTTCATTCATGACTTCGGAACTCCTTTTACTGGCTTTTACTGACCTTTAACTAACTTATTATAGCTATTTAATTAATTTGTTTTTTTGGTAAATATTTAATTAATTTGTTGGATTCCATCCTTTTCATCTGTAATCCATCTTTTCCAATTTTCATTTTCCCATAGCATTCTTGTTGTTCCACCAGCTATTAACATCTAGTCTACCCACATTTAGTTTCTGCTTGCAGGAAAATAGTACTATAGTTCATTAATGAAAGTAGTTGAATTTTACAGGTTGTTAAACTATGTTTTCCATGATGCGTAAGCAAACACGATTTTCAACCACTTAGGAGTAATG